ACCTATTCACCCATCCATTCACTGACCATCCTTTATCCATCCATCACCCACCCATCCACTCTGCAAGGACTCCGCTTTCTCCCACTAATACCCGTGCTCCCCAGACCCTCACTGCACTGCCATGCTGGTTGGCAGTGTTGAGAGGCCCTGAGCCATGCTGTCAGCTAGGTTAAGGTGTGGGTGGCCTCAGTCTTCGGACTGAGAGGGTGGTATTTGATTACATAACACGGCTCCTGGGGCAAGGGGTCTCCAGGGGTCTGTCAGGGCCTGGTGTTTACAGAGCATGAGATGATGTCTCCAGTGTGGATGCAGAGTCCACGCGCGTGTGTGTGTGTGTGTGTGTGTGTGTGCGTGCGTGTGTGTGCGCCTGGGTGAGGCAGGTGCAGGGCCTGAACTGTGGGTGGAGTCCTCTGACTCATCCTTTCCAAGACGAGTGTGTCACATACTCAACTATCCCATGTGGTTGGGAGAGGAGACAGCCCTACAAGCTTATGACACACGTGTAATTATGTATGAACATGCAAAGTTTGTTCCAGATGAGACACAGGACCAAAACTCATGTGTGCCCAGGGTCAGGGCTCAATGTGTGCCCAGGTTTAGGGCTCAGTGTGTGCCCAGGGCTAGGACTCAGTGTGTGCCCAGGGCTAGGGCTCATGTGTGAACAGGATCAGGGCTCAGCATGTGAACAGGGTCAGACTCTGTCCATGTCTAGGGTCAGGGCTCAGCCTGTGACCTGGGTCAAGGTCAGTGAGATTGAGATCAAGGCTCCATCTGTGATTAAGGTTCAGCTACAGGGGACAGTTGTGGATTAGGAGATCACTATTTCACCTGACGGGTACTGATGGATCTCACCCCCCACCCCACACACGTGACCCTGCAGACATGTGAGGCCTCTTCTCTCCTAAGCACATGCAAATACAGCTCTACTCCAGCACAGACCTGACTCCTGGGAGCACCAGGGGAAGCCAGGTCCTCCGATCACACTGGGTCACCCAGGAAGCCCTTGGTTTCCTGAGGAACCAAGGGTGAGGAGTGGTCCCATCCAGCCATGGAAGGATGCGCGGTCCAGCATAGTGCCGGGGGTGGGGTGGGCTGAGTAGCTCTCCCTGTCCCTTACCCATTAGCCTCCCTCCCTTGTGGGCCTTGAGCTGCCCAGCTCTGGATCGGATGCCTCAGCCCCACTCCTGAGCTTGCAGCTGGACCACAGGCCTCTGAGAGCCTCACGGGCAACAGGCACAGTGCTATGTGACCTCTGCTCACACATCAGCTCCTCAGAGGCGCTTCCATGGGCCCCTCCTGCCACCAGGCCCACATGGCTCCTCTTGTGGCACATGGCATGACCTGACATTTTCACACGGCTCTATGTATACGTTCCTGCTTGATGTCCCTCCTCACTGAGGGCAGAGGAGGCCGAGGACCAGGGCTTCCTCAGCAGTGATCACTGAGGGGGGGACGGGTGAACGGGTGGGTGGATGATGGCCCCTGACAACTTCCAGAGCTCCTGACACAGCTCCCACAAAGCGCCCACACCCTTCAGCCTGCCTTCTGTATCCACCCCACCTGCTCTCTAGTTATCGTTCAGGCTCTGCCTCTGCCTCTGCCTCTGCCCTCCTCAATGCTGGCCACGCCCGGAGCCTTCCCCAACCTCCCAGGACACACTCGTCACTGTGCTGCCCAAAGCACAAGGAGGGACTCAGTGAACATACCCTAGGCCCAGGCCCAGCTGAACGCACTCACCCTCCTGGCTTGGGACGGTGCCAGGGCTGAGTGGGGGTGGCAGTGACAATGACTCCTAGTTTCCCACTGACCACACCTCCCCAATGCACACCAAACCCCTTGGGGGGCAGAACCAACCCCCGCCACGCCCACCTGGCCCATCAGGATCTAGCACCAAGTTACTCCTGTACTTTCTCCCAAAATTCCGACCCTTTTCCACTCTAGTGGCTGCTCCCGCTTGGGGGTCTTTGCACAAACTTCCCTGTGGCTAAGTGAGGCTTCCCACCTCCCCCTTTGCCTCGCCATGTCTGGGGGGACATCGTGCTCTGGGGTGCCCACACAGGGCCCCGCGATCCCACCTCAAGCCCAGCCAGTCCAGCCCCATCCCTGCAGGGCACGGAGCAGGCACCCGGCTTGTTCTCACTGTGCTGCAGCCCATGACACGGGAGGCATCAGTAGGGGCTGGACGGGGACCTGGGCCGGTGATCCGAGGAGCCCCTGCTGCTGCTTCTCATCTGATCACCCCAGATCTCTGATCCCACACCAGCTTCCCAGGGGTCTGCCCACTGCAGGTGGGTGGGCAGGCTTGTCACCTGGCCCAGGGCTGGAGCTTCACAGCCCTCTCCTTCCCGACTGTGGACGTCCCTGGGAGGGGTAGGAGAGAGGCTAGTGGGTGCTGTGAGGCTTCAGAGCCAGACTTGGGCATGGACAAATCGTGGGAGACACAGATAGACCGGGGGACAGTGGCCAGAAGAGGAAGCTGCACTCCTGTTCCCGCTGGATCAGTTTCCCCAAAAGCCCACCCCGGGGCCCTGAGGTCACCAACCCAGATGAACTTACACGTCCGTTTCATCCCACAAGATACACGTCTGGTTGGTGGTGCCCTGGAGAGAGGGGGTAGGAGTCAGGGCCATCTGCCTGCCCCCTCAAGCCCCGCCCCAGGGTCACTGCAGGGTCCACCCACAGGTGGGCCAGTGTTCTGCTTACACTGTCCCTCCAACAGACCGGCATTCAAGGAGGAAACTGAGGCCCAGAGCAGGGAAGAGATCGGTGCAGACCCCTCACCCCACCCCCACTGTGGGCAGCGCCTGTCCCCTCTGAGCAGGGCTGGACAGCAGTGGCAGAAACCCATCTCTGGATGCCCAGGTGGCCAGTCAGCTTAATACAAAATGGGGTAGCAGAGAGACCTCTCCTGGGGAGCCCTGAGGGGCGAGTAAGTGAAGGTCAGGCTGGCACAGGGAGGGCCTCAGCGAACACCCCCGTCCCGTGGGTCACAGCATACCCGCCCTGGGATGATAGGGGCGCGAAAGGTGGGATGTTCCAGGCATTTAGGGGGCAGCTGCTCTAAACACTGGTGGGAATTACTCAGTCCTCACCCAACACTGTCGTTCACAGTTGATAAAGGAGGGAGCCATGGCACAGAGAGGGTGAGCAACTCGCCCAGGGCACACAGCAGGAAGAGGCACAGCTGGTTCTTCCTACAACCCTAGCCTAGGGTTCGAGGTCTGGTGCTGCCCTGTCCTGGCTGGGTGACCCTTGGGCTCCTGGGCATCTCAGCCTAGCCTGATAGAGAGCTCCAAGGAACAGGGCATGGAGGAGCCTGAGACCGGGGCAGACTGGCCTCGGAATGGGATGGCTCTCTCTCCTCCATGGGAGCAACCAGGTGGACAGGGACTGGGCTGCAGGGGCTGGGCTTAGGCAGAGGCGTCAGAGGTGGGTTAGACTTTGGCTCCCACATCACCCTGCTCTATGACCCTGAGCAAGTCATGCCACTCCCCGAGTCTCCGTTTCCCCACTCATTATTTGGGGACGAAAGCAGCTCTCTTATAAGGCTGAGGGTGACATCCCCACCCCCCACCCCACACACAGGGTCAGAGAGGAGGAGTCGCCCCCACGCAACCATGCACACACGGAGGGCACTCACGTTGTACATGTGGGCAAACTCAATCTCTAGGGGTGTGAGCAGGGAACGAGGGGGCGGCTTCACTGTTACAGAGATGACCTTGGAATTCAGGATGGTTGTGTTCCTGGGGAGAGTCAGCAAGCAGAGTCAGGGTGGCAGGGAACCCCCTTTGTTAGGGCCGTGGCCCCAACTGTGGAACCAGGCCCACTTCTGGCCCCCTTTCCTGAACGCCCACCCACGCCCCCCAGTCCCACCACCTTAGCTTCTCCTGGCTGGCCTCCCCCACACCTCAACCTCCCATGTGCCCCTTGGTGCCTACCTCTGAAGGGCCAGGAGGCTGCCCAGGTTCCGGTAGAGCACAGTGCCCACCACAAACACAGATGAGTCATCAGCCTCTGGAAGAAAGCGTGCCAGTCACCCTCCTCCCAACTGTCCCCAAGGCTGGACCCCAGGAGACCCAAGCCCCGTGGTTGGGTCCACTCCCACCATGGATAGTGCTGCGGTCAAAGAACTGGGGTGACTGCCTAAGTCGCCCTAAGTGACCCTGAGAGCTGAGGACAGGCAGAGCACATCTTCCCTTCCTGGGAACCAGAGTTGACTGCTGTGTCACTTCAGGTAAAACCCTGTCTCTGCCTACAATGAGGAGGTTCCTTCATCCATTCACCAAAGATTGCCTGGAGTGTCCCAACACAAGGAGGGCAAGGAGGGCAAGGAGGGCTTCCTGGAAGAAGGGGAGACCTTGGGAATACTGAGAAGAAACATGGATGCCACCCTGGACCTAGAGGCAACAGGCCAGATTCCAGAAAGACCTTCCCAGAGGCTGGACCCTCAGGCACTGGGGCCCAAGTCTCCAATGAGGGTCCTTCCGCATCATGGGGCCCTCACCTGCCAGCCCCGTGGAGAAGACACTCTTAGACACAGTGACCCTGTCCTCCGGCACCTTGGCCCAGTCGCCTGTGGCCCGCCAGCCCTTCATGGGGAAGCTGATGTCCGTGGCTCCACTGGCGGGGAGCTTATGGATGCTGAGGACTGTGGTGAGAGACAGGTGACAAGAAGCAACAGAGACAGAGGCAGGGAAACAGAGACAGGGAAGCAGTTACGTGACAAGGAGCCTTGGCCCTGAGGAGCTGGGAAGTGGGCCTGGGTGCTTAGGATCATCACACAGGCTCAGGGGGGGCATAGGGTACGTGGGGCCACCCAGCCAGGCTCCTGCCCATCGCCATCTCCCTGGGAAGCCCAGGGCCGGGGCACCTTCCCGGCCTCTCACCAAGGCTCCTGGTCCCAAGCTGCAGAGTGAGTCCCTCCCCATATGCACTGTCCCTACACAAGCTCCCTGGGTTGGCCGTGTCCCGAGCCAGTGGGGTTCACTTTGCCTTCCCAATGCTGGAGCCCAGATTCCCCTCCACAGTGGCTCTGGAAAAGGGACAGAGACAGACTCCACCTCCTGAGGACACTAAGGAGACAACAGATGGGCTTGTGGGAGGGGTAATGCATAGAAAGGTGTGGGGAGTGTGGAAGGCTCCTCTGTCAGGTGTAGGGAGACGTGCTGATGGAGACGCAGCAGTGTGGGGAGGCCCAGAGTGTCAAGAGCTGGTGGTGTCAGCAGTGGGAGTCTGGCCCCAGGGCCTGGCCAGCCTCTTGAAGACCTTTGGCCCCACCCGGGTCCAGCCAAGCTCACACCTAAAGACTCCAGTCCCATCAGGCTGTCTAGCCTTCTGATCCAGGAGTCCCAAGTGAGTGGCAGACACAGGCCTGGGAGGAGAGGACTGGGGGTGGGGGTGGCCTCACGAGGTCCCTTTATTCTCAGCCCACCCACCTGGGAAGACACTGTGCTTCCTTTACCCAGCCCCCCATGTGGTTTGCACCTGGCCTTTGCCCATCTCTGGGACCTCTCCCCAGGAGAAGCCGCCCACACTGGCCAAGGCCACTTCCCTGCACCTGTGATCAGCTCTGGGACCACAGCATCTTCCCTAGTAGAGGGCCTGGGGACAGGGACAGGCCCCTCCTCTCTGAGTGTCCAGCCCTTTGTGGTGAGTGCTCCACCAGTGAGGGAACCACGAGTAGTCATTCACTCCACAGGCACAGGGCACCTGCTGTACACCAGGGAGCTCTCATGCTGGGGGTGCGGCAGGGGACAAACGAAACTCCTTCTGGCCTTGACAATTTGATGGAGGAGACAGGCAGGCAGTGGTAATCCTGGGCAGGGGCAGGGAGGTTGGGGGTGCCGCACTTCCAAACAGGGTGGTCTGGGGTCCTCCTTGAGGAGGTGACTTTGGGTAAAGACCTGAAGGAGGTTGGGCTGCTTGGATCCCTAGTGTAAGTGTCCAGGAACAGAGTGTGTGGGTGTGGGGTGTGCAGTGTAGGAGGGGTGTGCAGAGAAGGGGGTGGCCGCACAGTCCTGCCTTCAAGTCCCCAAGACCATCCCAGCACAGAAAGGGCACTGGGGTGACCAAAGTGGGCCCTGGCCCTGGGGGGCTGTGGACTGGGGGTCCCGGTGTGTCCCTGGATATGAGGTCTCTAGGACCTTGCCTGGGCCTGAGACGCCCCAAGCTGACCCCTCCTAGGTCGTGTCAGGTTTGTGCACCTGAACACACAGGATTGACCTTAAATACTGGCCTAGAGGGAATGTGGCCCCGCCTGTGTACACAGATGAGGAAACTGAGGCAGGAAGGCGTGGCCCAGGGCTGCAGAGCAGGGGCATGGAGGGGGGATCAGTGTAGCATGGGGTGCGCTCACCCAGGTTGTCTGTCACTTGGTATGCATCCCGCAAGTCCTTCATGCGGAACCCTATGACATCCACGAAGTCCTCTACCAGCCGGAACAGCTCCTTGGCATTGGGGCCCATCTGGAGAGGGGGTGAGGTTAGGCAGCTTTGGAGATGATGGGAGCAGCCCCACCCAGAACACCAACCACTAGAGCTAAATGAGGGCATCATGGAGGGCCCCACACCCCCAGCCAGGGACACATCTTCTTGTTCCTCCGCCCCTCCCACCTCCTTTCCTCTGTCCCTTTGTTTCTGGGTCCTGTGGGTCACTCCCTAGCACCACAGGCTCCGTGACTTGGGAAGCAGTTAGGACCTTTGAGTGTCCATAGCCATTTGTAGACAAGCACACTGAGCCCCATGGCCAGGGATCCAGGCTGGGGAGGACAGCAGGGTCTCTGGGTCCTGCCGTCCTCATACTGGGTACTGCCCTGGGCACAGGTCCATTTGGGAGGAAGGGAGGCTGACCACTCTTTCCAGAAGAAAAAGAATCACCACATCCTAGTCACCTCATGAGCACCACACTGCCAACACATCCCGCCCCTCCTCATTGAGCCCCACGAGGGGAGCTGCTGTCCTCTGATGGATGGGGAAACTGAGGCTCAGAAAGTTAAGCAACTTCCTCAAAGTCACACGGCTGGCAGAGGCCGAGCTGGGGTTGGAACCCAGGTCCCATGCTAGGCTAGCCTGGGACTTAAGGAGGCACCAGCAATGCCTGGCCCATCCTGCTGCTCTGACCAGTGTCCTTACCAGCTGGGCCTCCTCCCACTTGTCCCGGTTGTCCTCCGCCAGCAGGTTGCTGATGATCTGGACAAAATTCTGGAAGGAAGAGGAAGAAGGGCCAGTAAGCAGAGAACAAGGCGCCAGAATCAGGGCTGAGCGCGTGACCAGGGTCAGGATCAGTGTGTGACCAGGGTCAGGGCTCAGCCTAGGCCCAGGGTGTGCTCCCCACCCACTTTCCCAGGTGCACTCTCCTGGGTGGCCCTCGGGGAAGCGCACCTGCACATCCCCAGGGGTGGGGCTGTAGTATGCTCTCCGGAAGATCTCGGTCATGTTCCGCAGGACGTCGATGGTAGAGAGCAGGTCCCCACTATAGCTGGTCCCATCCTGGGAGATCTCCACCAGCGTCTGGATGACTTCGGACACCCCCTCCCCGGGCAGCCCTCGCTGAGCCTTTGCCAGGTGCTCACGGGTCTGGAGAGATGGAGAGGATTGGGTGCCATGATTCTGCAGGACACATCAAGGCCAAGGACCTCCTGTGCCTAGAGGACCCTCTGCAGCCCCCAGCCAGTGGCCATAACTGATGTGTATACATAGGGTGTGCCACTGGGGACACAGGGTTGTCTGAGGACACAGGGCAGAGGAGCGCCCTGGACTGGTGGGCAGGGCAGGAGACCCCAGCCCCGGCCCTCACCATCATCTGGATGTTTCGGTAGTCGATGGAGACGCAGCGGATGTAGGTAGGGGGCTCCCAGTAAGCAATGCCTTCTTCATCCAGCTCACAGCGCCGCAAGATGAGGCCTGGGGAGGTGGTGGGTCAACTCTGCCTCCCACTTTCAGCTAGGTGCCCACCTCTGGTGCAGCAAACCCACCCACAGCTCCTAGGCCCGGGCCCTCTCATTGGGACCCTTGGCTCCAGAAGCAGGGAGTCTCTGAGAGCAGAGCCAGCATGGGGGCCAGGCTACCTCGCTTTCTTTCATTCACAGAATTTCTGAGCAGCTGCTGCAGGGACCAGCAGGAGCTAAACTTTCAGGGACCCCACCTGCATGGGGCAGAGCCCTCAGCTGAGTGTGGGGGGGGTTCAAGTTCATCCCAGGGTCACTCCTGTAGCTCCTCCCAATCCAGAGCCTGTAGCCCAGGCCCACTGCCCAGCTCCACACAAGAGGCAGACACTGGGAGCCTGTGGAGGTGTTTGGTGTCAGGAAGTGACAGCCTTAAACACGGGCACACTTGTGACCCAATGCCTAATGCCAGAAAACAGTCAAGGAACCAGGTACAGCTGTCTGCACACACTGGGGATGACCCTAGAGAACTACTGCAACCCTGTCACCCACTGGAGCCACGTGCTGCTCTGAGACCCCCTTGGCCAGGCCTGTAGGGCCTCCTCACTGCCCCCCACACAGCCCTGTGAGGACAGAACAGGAGTCCCTCATACCCGCACCCGCTGCCTGCCAGCCCTCACCCGTGGCATTTCGGGGACACCGAACCGCAGCCACTTCTCCCGCTGGGGTCTCCTTCCAGATCACAGTGCCAGAGTTGTCCTCGTCACAGATCTCATGGGGCTCTGCAGGAGCCAGAGGCATGAGCGGGGGAAGGATATGGGAAGGAGTGCTGAGTGCTGGCAGCAGGGGCAGGGGGCCAGAGCCCTCCAGGACATCCACCATCACAAAGGGGAGTTAGTCCCCAGAGAGCCCAGCTCCACGCCCACCTGGTCACTCAGGGTCTCCTCCCGGGGCCCAGCTGTGGGGGTGGTGAGGGGACACTCACCAGGACACCGCTGGGCACTGCATTGCCGGTGCTCCTCCTGCGGGCCCTGGCACATTGCTCCCCCGAAGAAGGGCCCTGAGCAGACACGCTCCCGTTGCTGTGTGCCGCCCCCACAGGTGACACTGCAGCCACCCCATGATGCCCAGGCTTCCCATTTCCCATCCACTGCAAGGCACGCCAGGCATGGAGACACAGGCCCAGGATGAGGAGGGCGCAGGTCCAGGAGTCACAGTGGTCAGAGACACAGGGCCATGGGGACAGGGAAAACGGGGAGGGCCAGACAACACAGGGATGGGAACAAAAGGAGGGCCAGACACGCAGACACCAGGTTGAGACCAGGAGAGGAGAAACCAGAGCTCAACTTGATAAAGAAAAAACAAGTGCCTCATCTGCACTGGTCCCCCTCCACCCCCCTCACTTCCCACTGTCCCCCCACGTCCCTATGGCCACATTCCAGCCCCACAGTCAGCCCCCAAGGGTCTCGCCCCTCCTCATGGTTCATGTCTGCATGCCGCCACCCGCAAGCCCTGGCCCGGCCCTGACCTGGGCACTGCTGCAGGAAGCAGTCTCTGGTCTCCACCCAGTGGCCCTGGCACTCGGCGCCCCCATAGGAAGGCCCGTTGCACTCCCGTGTGCGCTGCTGCCGGCCCTGGGAGCAGCTGGCGGAGCACGTGCTCCAGCTTGACCATTCGTTCCAGTTTCCATCCACTGCCCGGCCCGGGGGAGGAAGGGGACAGGAACCGTGTGAACACCCAGGATCCCATGACCCCAACACTGGGTCTGGGTCACAGGTGTAAACACCCCAGGGCCCACCCCAGGGCCCACCCGCCACCATGCAGCCTGGGACACAAGTGTGAACGCTTCCGAGGGCCACCACCCCAACACCAAGGGTACACGGATGAGAATGCCCCAGGGTCTCCAACCTCCAGCCTGATCACCGCCTGAGGTTCCAACCTCTGAGCACCGGAGCAGGGGGGTCTGGGGTGGGCAAAGTCGGGCTCCTGGGGCTGGCCAGTGACTCACTGGGCCCTTCCCTCCCGCTCTCTGTCCCTCCCAGCGCCCTCCCTCTCACCTACCAGGGCACAGGGCAATGTTGCAGAACTTGGTTTGCTTCTCGGGTCCCTCACAGGGGTTGCCTCCAAATTGCGGAGGCCTGCAGGTGCGTGTGCGGTCCCGGAAGCCACGGCCACAAGTGCTGGAGCACAGGCTCCAGGGTGACCACTCATCCCAGGCGCCATGCACTGCAGAGAAACCCGAGGGCACTGCTGAGCTTTGCGACCACTGACCACTGCCGCCCCTACACCCCGCCACCCAGCTGTCAAGCCCTGAATCCCGATGACCACTTACCCTCCCCCACCCGGGCACCCGGCTGCCCCAACCCTGGACCCTGACGCCCCGCC